AGGATGATTGGGCAGTAGTTCGAGGGTCCGAATGATTACCACTTTTATGTATATAGGATTGATTACTCCATGTTTCCACATTGTGGGAACCAGTATTTCGTCGAGACAACGTTGAAAGAACCAAGCTAATGGTTCGGTAAGTTTCATGGCCTCTGTCTTCAATGCCTTCGGTTTTATGTCGTCCACGCCAGGTGAGCTATGCAAGCGCAATGACATTAGCGTCTTCATCATATTGGCTGCCGTAAACGAGACGTGGTTTAACCCTATTTGCGATGGAAGCTGTGTCAAAAGCGCATGGAATGATGACTCACTCCGGAAAGTGTTGGCGAAGCACGTTGGCTGCAACTTGTGCGGTTTGCGCAAGACCATCTGTTGCACGTAAAACCGGGATCCCGCGCTGCACACTGCGGAGTTTGTTGGCGTGTCTATACAGCAAATTGGGAACTGCACCAAATTTCCCCGCTAAGTTCTGTTGACACTGGAGTTTGTTTTCGCGGATCAACTTCACGCAGTGGTTTCGTTGAGTTGTGTAAGCACCCCAGGTCAGGTTACTTGGACAGACTTTGGAAGCGCGCCAGGCTGAATCCCTTAAGGCCATGCATTTGCTAGTACGGCTCCTCAGGAACGAATTCACTTGCTTCGGGCGAAGGACCTTGCTTTCGGACGCATTTGCCACTAGCTCAGTGAATTCGGTGATGAACAACATCCAGGTGACATCGGGCAGCTTCTCGGCCAGGTAGGAACAGTCGGTTTCTTGAACGAGGTTGGACAGGATATCGTAATGTGTAACGACATAGATTTCCACGTTGTTCTCACTGATGTACTCCGAGTAACAGATGTAACGAAGGAGCAACATCGCGTGATCGCTACGGCCAAGTGCTGCATCTATGGTCATGGTGTCGACCATTAGTTCCTCGTTGGAGAGCACAAGGTCCAAAACAGAGGGTGTCACCCGTTCGGAATCGCGGGGGAGAGGTGACGTGGTTGTATAGAGGAACATCTGCAAACACCTCTTGCAAATCCGCCTTGAATTGTTCGCTGTGCGATGCTGGAACTTCGATGTCGTGCAGGTCTAGGTCCCCCACCAGAAGAACGTAACTGTATAGTCGTGCCAGGATTCGTTTCATCGCAGAAGCCCGGACACCGATCCATTTCCAAGGTGGACATTGGAGCGCGGTAAACTATTGCTAGTAACACACATCACCACATCTTAGGTACCTATGACACCAAAGAGAATCGACGACTTTCGTTTCTGGGTCCTCAATGACATCAACACGCAGGTCGGACTGATAATACAAAAGCACTCCCCCTCCTCTGCTAGGTCGATCGTTTCGTATGGAATTCATGCCGGGTAGTGCAATCTCAGCATCCGTGATCTTCATGTTCAGCCATGTTTCGGTGGCCATAACTAGGTCTCAAGGTGTGGAGACCTGACGAATACGAAGTTCGGTTAGCTTGTTGACAAGACCATGTGCATTGGTAAACAAGCAGGTGAGGGCATCGATGCTCAAAAGCGTGTTTGTGAATGCTGGTTTTCGGTGAGCGTCTATGCCAACCATTGCGGGGTCGGTTGCCGGTCGCTTTTTTGTAGGACCGATGACGTAGGCCCAAGGGCCAATTCAGGATGTTGTATGAAGCTAACAGCGCCAACAAGATGGTGACCATCCTGTCCTCCTTCAGCTGTCGGTTTGTTTTGGCATTGTCTCCGTTCTGAGCTACATGGTGACAGAATTGTATTGGTAAGTTGCTTGCTCAGTGTTACATTGTCTATCTGTGGCCTGGTGTCTATCTTCTTTATACCTATTTCGGATGGCAACATTTTACCCTCTTTATGCCACATTTTGATCACATGCTCTGCCATTAGTTCGGAGTGTAATGACACTTTCATCAATCGGGGACCACACCCTTTGTATTTAGGTGATAGTGGTAACCTTGATGTTGAATTAGCGATAACATTTGCAAGTGACAGTAATTCACGAATAAAACGCCATTCATCCCAGTCATGCGCTTTGACCTCTAGCTCGCTTAGTGACTCGAGCTCGGGGACATCGTGAACAAGGATAGATTTTCCGTCTTGTTGTTTACGGAAGTCATCCGGATTTTGTTTGCGTTTCTGGCGTTCGCTTCAAGGAACATCTGGAAAAATTCGAACAGTGCATGTAGTGGAACTGCCTCTGCATTACTACTTGACTGAAGTGTTACCTGGAGTAACCGCGGTTCACCGTGGTGTACGGAGTTTGGGTGACGGACGAGACACATCACACTGACTGGTTTAGCTTGATCCCCTATCAGTTGTCACAGGGAGTCCCACTGCTTTTTGTCCTCTATTCGCTTATCTGTTATGGAGTTCGCCCCGGACTCAGTCACATTAGAGCATATAACAGTTCGAGAATTATGGTATTCATGTTCTCCTTTTTGGAGGGACCAGTGGCTGCCTTCTTCGGTTGGATAAATCCTGGGACCTTGAGTTCCGTGGTGGTATTGGCAGTAGTAACTCGTTTGGCAGCAGGTGGGGTTGCAATGGGAGGTGCCTCCGTCATATGGGTAGCAACAACGGACGCGTGGGTTGTCGGCCCTCTAACAGTGTTTAGTGTGGCGGGTGATTCTGTTGAACAATGTGTTGCGAACGCATCTTTCTGAGCAGCCGCTAACTCTGGATGGTTACTCTTACACTGTTCTGAATTGGAACTTGATGTTGCACATCGTGTTCGAGGCACTGAGTTGTCTGGTTCATTTGGGACAGCTTTCACGGCTGCTGCCTGCCCTATAATCTTTGTCAGCCCATCGCATTTCTGCGCCAACACAGATACACATCTGACGAGTGGAAGAGATGTACACACAGTGTAGAACCAGAGAGAATCAGTCGTACTATTAAGCTTTCTTTATCTTGATGAGACTTAGGAGAGCACATCGAGAATGGAAGTATTTTCGGCAGTTTCTGCATTCTATTCCAAATCGCACAAGTTTTACACAGCTGTCTACGCCACAACTAACGTTTATTTCGGAACCTTTGGGCTTAGCTTTCCGTGGGCAACCAGTACATGCCATTGTGACTGTCAGATCTGCGGAAGTCGTCCGTTGCAACGTCTACACTGGTATGCTGAATCCAAACACTATCGGTCAAGCTGACGGTCTGGCAGAAACCGGTTACATTGCCGTAGGACAAATCCAAGATGGCGGACACAGACGGCAGTTGGGCCAATCAGTGAGATAAATAAAATTTCCGACAGCAGCCAGGAATATCCACCGAATTCGCACAGATGGAGAAATGCACAAAAAGCAAAGTATTGGTATGTAATTCACATAGAAAAAACACGCATAACACAGTACTCCCAAAGCAAAAGTAGCATTCAGCACGATAAAGCAAAAAACCGCGGCGCCCGTGGGTACAACCAGGACGGTTGCTAGCGAGTTACCATCGACCTTCAAGGACGATGCTTGGGATGTCGTCTGGGCCAGGTGCTTTTTTCACTTAAGCATTACTGACCGGTGTTGGATATTGTCGATGGTGGGTCTTGTTACGTCAACGTCCCTGGGAAAATCTAGGGGAACCAAGTAGTAATTCCGACGTACCGGGTGAAGGGAATTTCTTTTCGAAGTGTTCGGACCAACATACTGATCGACATGAGTGGGAGTGAATCGCTCACTCACGAGACTATCTTGGACTCGTGCGTCGAATAAGTTGAAACAGTACTCGAGTATTTCAAATGGTATTAGCCTTCTCCATCTCACTGGCCTTCGCCGTCCGCCAACGTTCACGGTAAAGTCTTAAGTCCCTAGTCAGGCGACGTTACAGGGTTACGGACGCCTTGAACCTGACAGCCTGGTGGAATCACCTCCCTTGCTTCAATATTAACAGAAGTTCCCGATATCAATGTACTGCTCAGACGCTTCGACCTGGGAGATCATATGTGCTCTCTGCATTGCGCACTGAGGGACGGTACCGTAAGCGTACCGTTCGGCTATATATATATATATATATATATATATATATATATATATATATATATATATATATATATATATATATATATGGCCAATTTGGATTGGCCGTTGGTGGTCTCACTACCACAAACCAACAACGAAGAGTGAAACCCAGAGCTTAGCATGCATCAAAGGAATGCCCAATCGCTACCATAAGCTTTACTCGAAGAGGGTTCAGCTGGCAAGTGCGAGAGCCGTCAACACATGAAGAGTCGAGGCAGGGGCAGAGCGGCCACAAAATATAAGATTTTGAGAGCGAAGGCACAAAAATTATCCCTTAGTCTTGGCATTGCAAGCTTGGGATTTACGCGGCCAATCGATTAGTCGGAACGCTAGGAACAGGCACTATGTGTCTCTCCAAGCGGTCTCCCAAGGCTGACAAAAATACCTCACATATCTATTGCGGAAGGTTCATGTGTGGGGAAGGCACAACGAATAGGATAGGCGTAGCCTCACGGTACAGCCACAGACAGGCGAAAATCGCGGTGTAACACCTCACATCTTGAGGTGAGTGGGTATCTTTCCATGGCGCACGTGCAGTTGTCATGTCAACGACCAATAACCCTCAGACGAAAAAGCGAGAGAAGAGCGAATTGAGTAGGAAAAGAGAGGAATGTATAATGCATGCAAATGCAACCGAACTGTTAGGTTCGACAACATGTGCGAGAAAGATTACCAAGGGAAACCAATGGAAAGGAGGCGTTTTTGCAGGGCGGGTATGCCCACAGCGGATGACGGTGAAGCCGGTTTCCTTAGACGTGGCTACGACTTGTCCAATAAGTCAACCGCCTTAGCACACTCCAAACGCAAATGTGCTATCTACTTCATCAATGTAAATGCAATTCGGTTTCTTGATCGAAACCCATTTATGTGACGTGAAAGTATGAAAAGAACCGACAAAGTGTTGAGTAATGTCAAAGAGGAAAGGAGCCCAAATATTGAGGAGAATCATGCCACACAGCAGTGTGGGCATGAAAGATTGGTGACAATAAAAAACAAGGGGCCGAGTAACTTACGGATAGCGTTCCAGCAAATGAAAGATAACCTCATGTCCACCGTTCTTTAGGAACTCGGTGGCAAACTGTCGGCAGGGCAGGAGCTTCGCAAGTTCCTGCAGGATGTTGGTCAGCGTTTGGCATTGCAAATTGCTCCAGTTCAATTGATTTAACTCACTGGTGAGTAAATGAATGGCTTGTTTTGATGCAAGAGACTAAGGACAGATAGGTAAAAGGACAGGTATATAGGATTAACCAAACCCAAAAGCAGCTTAAATAAGTATACCATCTAAAAAGAACCACATAAGCAGGAGGATAAGGGAAGAGATAGAGATAGAGATTGAACACTCGCTGTCATTGTTTCACTTACATCTTTGAATCTCATTGACTTAATGCAGACAGACGTATTTTATGGATACTGAATTAAGATAATTCCTAAAGTTTAAACACAAGTGAAGTGGCGAGGTAACCAGATACGCGCGTGGATTCACACCAGACTGGGAGGTAACTAGAAAGGAAGCAAACGGTATTGTCGAAAACTACACTGTGGTAAGGGGTGTGTCTGAGACACACTGAAGAAACTCTGACGCAGTTTATTCAAGTTCCATCTGAAGGACAAACTGTTTCACAATGGCTACACAGTTTACCACGAAAACCCTCCAGTGATACCCTGTGCAAGTGTAAAAATCACAAAATTATCAGCTACACAATAAAAAACGTAACGTATCTTGGATTGGTACCATTTCAGGTAGTGAAACAGAAAGAAGAAAGTAACGGTAGGAAGTTATTCGGGACGGAAGTTCAAAGGGAATAATTGCTTGCGACTACAAGCCCCACTACGATCGGTCCGGAACTGATAGTAAAAGTAGCGCCTGCCTGAGCCCACTAGCTGCCCTGTTGACCCACTGGAATCGGTTACTGCCTGAGCTGGATTTTTCTTCCTAGTTCCCACATGCCTAAGTTAAAGTCCACTGAGTGCTAGTGCGTGTGCGACATCCCAGTGGGCGCAGCATGAGGTTAGGAACGTCGTCAGCGACAGAAATAATAGAAATGGCGGAGTCCTACTCTCACTCTGTCAGGACAGCAACGTCTGCATTTTTGACATCCGTTTTTCGTCTTAAGTTTCGCACCTACTCAACCAAGTTAATCAAATCGGCGCAAGCTATATCAACACCACCCGATGCATCCTAACCTATGATCGTGGTTGCTGAACTAGGCACAGCAGCTAGAAGCAGCTATGATTGTTCCGAAACCGAAACAGGGCAGAAATCAATCAGATCCATTCCCGGTGACTAAAAGCGCGAAACATCTGGTCGTACAAACCAAAGTAAGGACAGATGAGGATAAGGAGCGACAGACTGTCTGAAAGTTTTACGTTAGTGAAAGTAGTTGCGCAAGCATTCGGGGCAGAGTAGTTACGTTCTGTGTAGGTGAACTACGAAAAATTGTGTCGATGGAACCCAGGAACCGGAGCCTTTGACTACAGGCAAGTTGATTCTCAAACATTATTCGTGCTGAATCGAGTTCGGGAAGCGGAGCAAAGAGCCAGAGGAACGGAAGTACAGGGATTCAAGTTCATACCAACGGGGAGAGGGGATGGGAAGATAATTTGTCGGAAGGAGGAAAATAGACATGAAAAGGCCACTGGAAATAAAATTGATCAGTGGTTAAGAGAGGTTCTCGTATGCTGAAAGAGAACTTATTGAACGATTCGAAGGTTTGGCCGAGAGCTATAGCCGTAGTGTCGGTTTAATTATTTCCACTAAATGTCTGCTGGTGGTTACGTGTGACTGGACTCAGAGTGGGAAAGAGAGTAGGTTACTGATAGATGGGAGGAACAAGTAAGATGAGACATTAATTGAAGAAATGTACTCGTGGACTGCAGCGCAGGACGACAAGGCAACGGTGGTTGCAAGTCTGAGGCATACACTTGCAGTTCAACACTACAAGTTTCCATGCGCTGTCAGACGCATCTACTGGCATTGCACGTACAGAAGAAGCGTGTTGGAATTTCAGATGCAACCGGTGGAATGTACAGCTCGTTTGGACCGTAAGTGGGGTAATCGAACAGTTAAGCATGCCACCGACAAAACGACAGTGTGTAAGTTGGGAATATAGAGGGTACATACAAGTGCATATCGATCCCAGAGGATTCATTATCCGCGGTTTTCCTTGGCGCTTAAGGCAGCGCCAGGATAAATCCGCTTTATGCCAAGATAACCATATCGCAGCCCAGTGGAATGTTTACTACCCCTCCACAGTTCCCCACAATCAGCAGAACGCGTCGGTGCTGCTTCGTTCCCTTCTTGCTCTTCAACCTTGAGTTAGAAATAATCAAGAAGGATCATGTCTCATTTGTTCCTTCAAAAGTGAAAGTTGTGCGGTGACAGAGGGACAATCAGAACACGAGGACGATGTGGTAGCTATGAAATCACTGCTGCATAGAAAATGAGCAGTGCACACGCGCGCCGCGGTATGTTTCGGGCCTGTAGTAAGCAAGGAAATGTTGTAGCACTGAGTCGGAGCGCCAATAATCGTCGCAAGTAGCGGACAACCACTGGAACTGACCCCCAGGTTGTCTGCTTGTATCTGTCTTTTCCGGCGGTCAAATCGGAAAAGAGGTTACCAAGACCACTGGCGGTTGTGTTGCCAAACGCCAATCACAAGTGCTCCCAGGTTGTGGTGCAGTGCACAATGTTGCAGTGTGACTTGGCCACGGACTAGAGTTGTGAACAGCAAAAGAACGTCCGTCTCTGGCTACCAAGAATGGCTAAACATCGATCGCATCGGGTGGGAGCATAGAGTGAGTAAGGCTTATACCTACTATTTGACGCTCAGTCACTGGTGCAGCATTCGGTTGAAATTGAACCATCTGCTTATGCGAAAATACCTATCCCAGTGGGCGTTTGTGTATGCGCGATCTGACTGAAGGGGTCACAAGTCGGCCAGTTGGAGATATGGAAGAAAGAGAGGACAACACTGACTGAAAACCTGAGCCCCGCATGCGTGTACTGTATTTTCCGGTGGAGTATTAGAATAAGCCACATTGATACTTGGGAATCCCATTCAATTCAGCTCAGTCAAGATGTTAGCTGCGTTTGTACACCCAGTCTCTTGTGTCCCTTTGATGTAAATACGCTCATATGTTGAATGACCTATTAGTTTCTCTTGTTCTAATTTCCGTTACGCTTTTCCAGTGATGTTGCCATGGCGACAGGAGTGGTGGCAATAGTGGCCGTTATGCTTTGGTGAGTGCGTTATAGACGTACACCCGAACCGTGTATGTTGAAACAGAATGGAAACCACACCATCATCGCATCGAGCATAAAGTTGGGTATGGCGAAAAAAAAACCAAAATCTCGTAAAAATTGGGGAGGTGGAGGGATCAAATGGAAGTGGACTACACTACAAATGTGTTGGTGTGAGACGACGAATGTGGTATCTAGTGAATGATAACAATGACTAATAGCTTGGACGGAATGGACAGTGAAAGTTAGATATGAAGTGGGTGCATTTTAAGGTGGGTGGGGGCAACCCCCAGAATTGATTAGTTTGTCAGAGTTTCGCCGCAGCACGCATCGAGGAACTCTTTAGATAGCAACTGTTTGCCGTGTCAACTATAAATACAATCTCTACTTAGTAGTAACTAGGTAGGTAACACGTCTAGAAAAGTAGTGAATACAGCACTATTGACAAGAGCTAAGTCACATCCGCTTGGACTGTAAACCATCATGCGGTTCCAATGTCTTGGCTTCCACCGGAAACATTAATGAGGATAGAGTAGATCGGTTGATTATGCTATGGAAATCCATCACTTGTGGTCAAAGCAGTCACTCCGGGAAGTGGGTTAAATGCTCGCACCGAACACAATGTGATATCCACACTGCAGTGTGTTGAAGTTGCGACTACTAAAGTTCATCCAAAGGTTTATAGCACAAGCCAGAGTAATCTAGCGTTGCACCCGTGCCTTCCAGATGGGAAAAAGGTGACAAGTAATGTCGTGATTAGACCGTGTTACTCAGTAAATGTGCTAGTAACACAAAAAATGTTCACCGCGTCTTGGAGTGGCTTTGCCTTAGAACGCGACATAGAGAGAAAGTAATGGAAAACAAACAGCGGAAAGACATGTTACCAGTGAACCCTAGAAACATGAGAGATTTTACTAAAACCCAAATTCATGCCTGGCGTTTACGCCAGAATAAAATGTGTCGACCATGCTCTATATCATTTCCCAATTGATTGCATCCTTAACGCAATGGCTTTCATCCGCAGCGCAGCGACCTGCATTACTAACACAAAAGCTGTAATCCGATAGTCACGACGCCCTCAGTGAGTCAGCTGTCCGCTCACCTCAAGTCGAAAAATTTCTAGTTTGCAAGTTTAAAAAACTAATTAAGGTTGAGCTGATTGACACGAAAACCGACACAGCTTCGTGATCGCGTGTCCTGGCTTTCCCACATGCACTGTCTAACGAAGATCAATAGGGAAGGCGTCGCTTCGTGTCAAATCGCTTCAATGGCCTGCGCACGGTATCAAAAGTTGGCACGATGGTTAGCCGAACTTATTGAACCTATTCGTCGCGAACTAGCCGGATACAGGTAGGTTGGAATTCCTCAACAAAACCTGAGGTTTGAACGTAGAAGGGAGATAAATGACCTCGTTTAATGTGTGTTCATTATTCAGTGTTCCCATAGAAGAGACTGGACGTAATCGGTGTACATGCCGGCAAAGTCGGGTTTCCAGCTCAGCACCTGAAATCACTACTACGATTGCGCACGAAGGACGTCCAGTTTAAGTTTGAAGGCCCCCTGTATCCACAGAGTGATGCTGTAGGCATGGACAGTGTTGGCTGATATATTCATGAACCACCTGGAAAACACCAAGTCACGTCCTTACATACAACACGTGCCTTCATACAGCCGCTACAGAGATGACACTTTCGTCGTTGTACACATTGTCGAGCAAAAAGAACACCCACTACTGGACAGTGCGGAAAGAAGACGCAAACTAGTAGATGCAAGCATTTCGCATTGTCTCCACAGTACCATTAATCCCCATACTCCCCTGAACTCCCGTGGTCGCGTGGGCCGCCGGTTTCCTTTACAGGCAAACACCTGGTCTCGGGTCACCGGATCTAGCTGGGCTCAGTATCACGTTAATCCCCTCTTCCTTCGGTTTGCTGAACCGGATGAAACCGGCCCTGTGCGTTCAAAAG